GCTCAGGGCTCGGCGTCCAGAGGAGGTACCGAACGAGGCCAAGCGCGGCAGTCGGCCCGCGCTGCCACACGGTGATCCGTTCACTCTCAGCTGGCCGAGCTGATGTTGCGGCTTCTGTAACTGCTATTGTGAGTTTACGTGTGCTGCTCGCGGTGTGCGGTTTTACCGGAATGACCTGTCTATACCGTAGCCGGAAATGGTTTTTGCATATTTCCTGCGTCCGTTACCACTATTTCTAACCTCCGTCCAGGCCTTACAACGAACCTGCACGAGGTGTTCGCTTAAGAAAATATCAAGAAGTTTCGTGTGCGTCTGTCTGACAGAACCCACTTCATCGAACGACCTGCAACAGCTGACCACCGTCTGCCTCGTGCGTCACAAACCAATGTAAGCACGCGCATCACGAGACAGAGACAAACGGGAAAATAAACCACACTGGGCTATTCTTTCGATGTTCGCCCTCATTCCAAACGTTCATTCGAGGTTTAAGTTATTATTCATATTGAGAAAAGCCCTAACCTCCCGGTCTTTCGACATTGTAAGTTCAATAATCAATACCTCCTGGTACATTGCAGTTCAATCGTTGACAGAATAGGATCTCTTAACTCAAGATGCAGGTCTACATACCGTTATGTTCGCTTGCATCCGTCCTGTTCCCGAGTCTTCACCCCAGAAGCGAAGCGCCCGTGTGTTCCGGCCTTCAATGCTACATTACTGAGACGCCCGGCTCGTTTCTCAAACTTCGACATTTGATACCTCCAATGATTCCTCTGCCAACTCCAACCAGTGCTCCGCGCACTAGCACCTTCCCATTGCCGCGGACAACACATGGCCTCAGCGATGGTGAGCAGGTGGCTCACACTGGCACCCGGCGAAGGCAGGAGCAGAACGTCCCGAGGACCAGCCGCGGCGTAGGACGGGCCAACACGCCTGTGTCCAGTCTGACTAGCCGCGACGTCCCGAAACAGCAACGGCGGCCCGCCGCCCCACGCGCTCCGAGCGCCGGCGGAGCGCGCGCACGCACACACTCACACAGTCGGCTGTACTGACCACGTATATATTTCCAAACGGGTTCGTGAGGTCTGTCGCTCGACTGGCGGGGGGTGGGGGGTGGGGGTGGGAGGCTCCGCCCACGCCGGCATGTCGTGGAGCGTACCGCCCGGGCGTGTATCGTAGAGGCAGTGACAGAGGAAGGTCGCGCGCCCGCGGCTGGCTTGTACAGAGCGCGCGACGCGGCGCACCCCGGCCACGGGGCGCCGCTCCGGAGCGGAGCGCGGCTCACTGCGCGAAGCGTGTAGCAAGTAGAAACGCGTGAAAAAGTGAGCGCCACGGACACGGGGCGGGCCAGGGCGCCGCTCGTCGCCGACAACACACCAGGACACCCGCACACCGCGGAGGGCGCCTGGGCCGCTCCAGCACAGCTACAGCGAGCGATCGAGGACAAGCACGGCTCCGGCGAGCCCGCACAGCTACGGAAAGGCTCCGGGATGGAGCACTGTCTGAATAAAGCAAAGGCTAGAGTAGAACAGACTATGTCCGTATTTAAGGGTTCTAGACAGCGCATATCAACGTAACACCAGGCTTTTACATTAAAGGCAACGGAGCAACTATAAATCTGAAAACTGCACACAGTTCGTACGTAAACGAGCCTACTGTAGTCTACGCAAACCTTTCAAATGTGGAACTAGGAACTACACTTGGACATCTGCTCCGGGCCGGGCGGCGCTTGCAGCCAACCCCGACCGGAGACGTCTTTGAAACCATGGGAGCATGCATCAACAAATCGGCAAAACAGGTTACAACTGACACCAAAGAAAACATTTCCGAACACAGAGCATGGTCCGTGCGATAAAACTTCCGTCGGAAGCGCACAACTCGTAATTCTTTGTGCCCAACATTGCTGGCAATCCGCCGCAGAATATCGTCAAGATCGCCTTGCTATTGGTTCGCGGCCAGCATAGCCTTGCTGTTCATTCGTCACCGGCTTTGACGTAACGAAGCGCCAAATACAATCAGTTGATGCGACCCCCCAATCGACGACACATGACTCAAGTCGTCGACTGATGGGCGCCTCTCGATTTGTGCGATTAGCCGTAGTTTAAATAATAGTGAAAATTGCAAAATAACATTGTAGCACTATGTACAAGCTAACATCCACATTGATTTCTTTGGTGCCAAAATAATCACAACTTTGACTTCTCGACATCCATATCAGACTTGTTTTGAAAGACAATGAAACATGTCTACCTTTACGTTCAAAACACAGATTGATAAAATTAATCTGTAACAGTTCAGCAAACATCTTCAAAACAACGCATCATAGTACAGCTTTTTGTTTCACCGCTACTCACGCCCTTCAGAAAAGTCAAAAGTTCTCAAAACGCTTGAGCTCTTGGATTGCAATTAAATTAAGCTCTGTAAGGCATGATTACAGGCTCGACATTCTTGATGCGCTTCTCTATGAGTTAATTCATGTAAATGGTGGCAAGCTCACTAGACTACAAATGCACTACAAACGGTACAAATCAGCTCTATAGTTGTCTAGCAAAATGTTAGCACATGCGATGAAATGAGACCTGGCAGCCTACGAGCGTCTTCAAGCATGCATACATCATGTCGCGACAAACGACGTACAAAATTGAGAATCGAGTATTACAATCGCATAAGCATGCACAATGCGTGTACAAATGGCCGTCGCACGTCCTCGCGCCTTGCATGTCCCAGCTGGCCGCTGGGCTAGCGCGCCTCTGTCGGGCGAACTGCAACATAGAGCTTGCGCAGCATTCCACCAGGGGAGTCGCCGGCCGACCCGGCCCCGTCGCCAGCGGAGACCGACGCCGGGCGGGAGCCGCCACCGCGACGCCGCGGCGCGACCGAGCGGCTACACAGCCAGCAGCGTCTTGATCTGCTTCGGAGTATTCTCGTCGTTCAAGTGTTTCGTTGTGTACCTGAGCGCGTTGAGCAGCGCGTCCGAGTTGGCCGGCGGCTGCTCCTTCAGCACCTTGATGCAGCCCTTCACGTCCAGGCTGGTGGCTGTTGGGGAGAGGGCAGCTTCATAGTGACCACGGGCTGACTGGGCGGCGCCGCGAGAACGACTAACTTGAGCAGTTTGACACGTACGGACAACTTAAAACAGACAGGTTGTTATGCGTAACTTCGTTTGTTACCAGCACGTGCCAAGTTGTATTCTTCAGGAGCATGTGCGGCACACGAGCGGCTTGACGAACGACTTAGCCTGTTTTCAAGACAAAAGTTGGTAAGGCAGATGTTTGCACACAAAAGTAAGCAACTAATGTTTGCATGTCGCAAACACGTACGCAATCGACAACGGCATTGCGCAGATATTTATGAGCAGCAATGTTCGCATGTACAGGTGTTCGCAAAGAAACACTGGCACTGCCAACGTTCGCAAAGCTCAGATTTGAAAAAGTTAACATTCGTAAGCACTTATGCCGTAACATGAATGTCTGAACTTGCCATTTACTGCTCAAGTTCATATGACAACTGTGCTGCGGGTAGGTGTCTGTGATAAATTTTCCTACCTAGCTGCTTTCGAACCACTTCTGACATAGCCCGGGCGTTTGTAACGGCACCATAAGGTGAGACAGTCGGCAAGCTGGAAGTCCACATGGGCAGCGAACCCAACTGCCCCCGCCCCAACACTTGTTCTGGTACACATTAAGCCACAATCACCACACAGCACTGTATCAGGGAATGATCGAGGACCGACCAAGCCCCTCCTTATTCTCAGAATCATGGCATGAGCGCCACCTAAATACAGCGATGCGGAACAGAGCGCCGGTGGTCTGAGCACGGGCCGGGCCGGCGGATGTATCGGCCGTCAGCGACCGACCTTTGACGAAGGCGCCGGCCGGGTGCACGTGGTCGTACAGGATGACGAGGCCCACCATGACGCGCAGGATGAACAGGTGTGTCTCCTCGCGTCGGAAGCGGGCGATCAGCGCCCTGCAGCGGCCAGGCGGCGACGCGTCAGCGGACGGGCCGCTGCGCCCCAGCGCGGCGTCCGGCCCGCCTATCCCACACAGCGTCCCGAGGCGGCGGCACGGCTCGCCCAGCGCCAGCGTCGGCCCACCATGCAGACATCAGAGGCAGACCGCGCCGGTGGAAACCGATCGTGCCCGGCGAGTGATGTAGCGAGCGCCACTATCAAACGAGTACACAGCTTTGACCAGACGAAACTCGGAACCGCGAAGGGCGGTGTATGTTCTGGTGCATGCTTTCGCTATGAAGTTTTGGCTTTCCTCGTTGAAAGATAGGCTTGCTATGAATAAAGCACGGCATTTGGCAGCTTTAAACAGTGGCATTTGGCCACTTTGATCTAAGATACCAAATCTAACGCTGAAGGCACACAGCATCGACGCCCACGACATCAATGGTGCCGTGAGGGACACTCGGCCAGCTCAAAGAGAAACACTCGGCTCAAGATAAGGAGGCTCAAGACCCAAGGAGGGACACTCCGCTCAAGGTACGGAGGCTCAAGGCCCAAGGAGGGACACTTCGCTCAAGCTACGGAGGCTCAAGGTCATGAGGCTCAGGGCTCAAGGGGCCTAAAGGTAGGGAAGCTCAGGGCTCCAGGAGACTCAAGGTCCGGGGAGGGAGACTCGGCTTAAGGCCCGGGGTGACCCCAGATGACCTCAACGATTTTGCCCCGCACACGCAAAAACCGATCAATGCCAGCAAAACATGATCTGACCCACTTGGCCCCGGATACGGGCCAACCGTGAGAGCTAGCTGAAAATGATTTGGATACAAGTTGTAGACACCGCCCGCGCTCCACGTCTTCCTGCCACTGTATATGCACTGCGTCATCTTAAGACAGATGCCATTTTGAAGGTGTACAGCCATTGCATAACGTATATCTACGGTGTCCGTCAGCAGTCAAAGACAATTCTAGGCTGACTTCACAGATAATGATGCTGATTTGGGCTTTTGGGGCGCAACGACCACGTTAGTCAAATGGCATAGGCTGACTCCACAGCTAAGTGCAACAAGAGGCTGACTCCACTCCACCACAGCGTCTAAGACAATCCAAGGACAATATGTGAAACCTCAATCGCCAGGTGCAGAGTCCCGAGTTTCTCCTTCAACGAAGTAATAATTCCGAATTCACTGTTGTTTAGTGCAGCCCATAACAACGCCGCCAGTCCTCTCAGGCAGTCGACGCCCCCCCCCCCCCCCCCCCCACAACCAGTCACCACCATGAGCGCAGCACTGGACGCCAGACTCAGGTGATCACTGAACAATCATGCCATCGAGTGATGCTGACAACGCAGTGACGCCCTACAGTACGCGAGAACACCTGGCGCGTGCAGGAAGCGGTCCGCAAATCCTGGCTGAATGCACTGCTGACATCCGCTCACGACCGGCATCGTGGCAGCGATCAGCCGTACTCACGGGTTCTCCAGCATCCGCTGACAGACCTTGCCCATGGTTCCCAACGTCTCGGTCGTGTTCTCCACCGGAATCTCCTTGTGCTGAAGGGAGGGACCGCGAAATCACCGATGCGGGTATCAATTACGTTCCACGAGACACACAAACACAGCAAGAATGTCACATGGCCGAGTGTGCTGCCTATTATACGTTTTCTAAAAGTTAATGGAGCATACAGCACTGTGTGAAGTGTTTTCTGATCTACACAGACATTCTGCTGGAACTAGGTCGTCAGCTACACCTACTTAAGAACAAGTTTTGTCGTCGTAGAGACAGCATCAGACACGATTCTTCCATTTACAGTGAGCACGCCTGAGCCGTCATAAACCCTGCCCACGGTCGATCCAGGACGGAGTACCGGGCATTGGTGCCCGTCGCCAACCTCGCGCACCCACCACCCGTCGCGCCTCCTCCGGCGGCCGCCGTCTGACGCCGGTCAGTCCCGCCGCCCGGCGTGGCTCGGGGGCACCCGGTGCCCGCCGCTAACCTCGCGTACCCACCAGCTGCCATCCTCCCCCCCGCAGCCGCTGTCTGACGTCAGCCAGGCCCAACGCCCCGCGTCGCTCCGGGGCACCCGGCGCCCGCCGCTAACCTCGCGTACCCACCAGCTGCCGCCCTCCCCCCGGCGGCCGCCGTCTGACGTCAGTCAGGCCCGCCGCCCGGCGTGGCTCCGGGGCGCCCGGTGCTCGCCGCTAACCTCGCGCACGAAGCGGCTGGTGGCCTCGCTCAGCGTCTTCAGCATGGGCGTGGCGTCGGCGTAGAAGAGAGACATGCGGTTGGCCGTGTCGTTGTCGAGCTCGGTGTCGGGCCGCTCGCCGCGCAGCCGGTAGTGCTGGCTGTTGAGCGTGCGCCGGTAGAAGCTGAAGTCGTTCTGCACCGCCGGCGTGTTCATCTGCCGGCGCGCACAGTGTTGAGTCCGGCCGGGTACGCCCTACGCGCCGGCTGCTGCCTTCACACAGACATAGCTTAAGGCACCGAGCCTCATAATGCATAGGTGATTAACACACGAAAAGATTGCTGCATGTATCCGGAAAGGCGAACACGCGTGAAAAATTGCGGCAGAACACATATATTCCACATAAACTCATGGTAAACTTGCAGGAAAACTAATCAGCCCAGTTTAAGAATGTTGAACTACCTGCGGTGTTTCAGGAACTGCTTGACTTTCCAAAATTTAACAATATATGCCTCCAGTTTGCTCTCAGTTTCAACGAAAACATGGTGATCTCATTCTACACAAAGCTGATCGCCAGGACAACGCAAGAGTCACACAAAGTACACATTTTGGTACTGGTACCTAAGCACACCTCCACCAGTTCCTCACACTCGCAACGACCTAGGTCGTGCCCATGCCGTTCACCTTCATTTCATCAAACTTGAGAACGAACTCCAGAATGTCGGCGAACTGTTTGACGAGCGCCTGCTGCGTCTCCAGGTGGATGGAGGGCGTCATGGGGCCCGAGCAGAGCTCGAACAGAATGCGCGGCACGATCCGGTCTGCAACGGGGCGAAGACAGCCTCAGGGGCGCGCGTCAACAATCGCACGCACCCACGCGCCCACCCACGCACACGCCTCACCCTGCATTGTAACACATGGAAATGGCATTGTTTTTGGTCGAAGTGTAACGATGCGAGCAACTTCCCAGTCTATCCCGGACATCACAACGGCGGACAACTGGGGAGAACTATACTGCACCTGATCACTCCGAGCACACCCGACTGGGGAGAACTATACTGCACCTGATCACTCCAAGCAGACCCAATATAACTCCTGCACCTGATCATTCCAAGCAGACCCAACTGGAGAGAACTATACTGCACCTGATTATTCCAAGCACACCCGACTGGGGAGAACTATATTGCACCTGATCATTCCAAGCAGACCCAACTGGGGATAACTACACTGCACCTGATCATTCCGAGCAGACCCGACTGGGGAGAACTATACTGCACCTGATTATTCCGAGCACACCCGACTGGGGATAACTTTTCTGCAACTGATTATTCCGAGCAGAGCCAACTGACAATTAGCAAACAGTGGCGGAGCATGTGGGTCACTGCGGAGAAGGCAAATCACACATACATATCTCCAGCGAGAAGAGGTAGAAGCGCTTCAGCATGAGCACCAGCGGCACGACCGCGTCCCACGCCCGCTCCTGGCTATCGTCGCTGGGGCTGGCGATGGCCTGCAACAGCCGGTGTCAGAACAGGTGCTGGCAAGAGCCAGTGCTGTCTACTACAGCAATAGCTCGTTCGAGTGGACAGAACAGACAACACGTACGTTCAACATCACCTAACAAGGATTATTGTATGTCTTGGAAGACGCGGTAATTGAAGAAAAACTAGTACAAAAGGATACCTAATGGGAAACCTCACATAAATGGAATGGTTCAAACCGTGAATTGTCAAACGATGTACCCAGCCAAGCTCTTATGTCCAAGGAGCCGTGTTCTGATGATCTCGGACCATCATTAAGCCTTTAATCAGTACACATTTTGCCAGTTGACCTTTTTCAGCGATGACCATATCACTTGCTGACAGGGGTCAGCGTACCGGCACTGCTAGAGACCTGTGCCGGCCCGGCACTTTTGATTTGCTTAGGCTTTTTGGGCACGTCATTGCCTAGCTCACGTTACCAGATGACTTCTTGTACGAAATGGTGCAAGTCTGTCACAGACTTAAATAAGATGTGAAGGGAGATCGAACGAGGTTGGTTCACCTTCTATTCATCGGACGAGTTTAAACTTTGAACATGAAACATAAGTGAAAAATGAGAGCTTGGTGACGTCATTTACACACTCCATTTGAACTTCTTTCATCGCTTTTCAGAAGTTAAACTTTTGCATACTTTTGCAGCGTGTCTCATTCGGAGCTCCGCCGCAATAGCATCACGAACTGCAGCAGTACGTCTTGTGTTCTTTCCACGATCTTTAATCTGATATTTCACAACCATGTGCCCCTCCTGCAATTTTTTAGGTGGGGTGTGGACCAGGGGGAGTGGTGTAGCTGGACTACAAGTAAGACATGCTATCCAGGTAGGACATGACAGATAATACAGCATCACCTCACTTGTCCCACATTGCCTATGTCTTACCAGCAACTTATATGTCAAAACAATGATAAGCCATTTTGCAGCCTGATAATACTTCATCTTTGTATCTGTGGCATGTGACTAGTAGTTCAAGTTCTGTGCTAAGGCCCAATATGACATAGCAAATATATCACACACTCCACTTGGATATAATCTTACCTCTCGTATCTCTTTGGCGGCTCCCTTGTACTGTTGAAGCTCACTTAGCATTTCCCTGGACTCCTCCAGGACACGCCCCACCTCCGTCCAAGTCTCAAGTTCACTTTCTGTTGGTTCTGCATCTAAACACAGGACATAAGGGCATTACCACATTAGCAATGAATGTGTGCTGGTGCAATGCATGCAGAACTTGAGCCAGACATCTAATTGAACTGGCATGTGGTGAGGTAACAAAAGTTCAGAACACTTGCAATTTCATGATGTTGCAATGCCATCAATTAAGTTGACATGTTATCATACTGCAATTCACTATTTGCAATTAACTTTTCAATTTATATGTGGGTACTGGTGCAATCTGTATCACAGTTCACAGTGAATAATACATTTTACAAGGTATAGTCAGAATGATGCATTAAACAAAAAGTATACTGCATCAGAAAAACAAAAAGTGTTTGTGTTCACAGGAGCCTCCTCTGACAGCATCCACAGGCCAGTTCATGGTCATGTTCACAGAGTGTGACATCAGTTCCTTGATTGCATCCATACATACATCCTACACATGTGCAAGTCATTATTCCAGTGAGTGTACACATCAAGCAGCACTCTAGGAATGAGCAGGGAATATAACCATCAGCTTTGTAGTCACATTTGAGGGATGTGTCAAGTTTTAGTTTGTCATGTCTGTCAACTGGTTTCATCATCTGCAGAAATGGTAAAAAATACTCCAACTCTACAGTAATTCAATACACATCTCAGCAGGCAGTAGTTCATCCTCCTGCCTAAGTAACTCATTCTACAAACATTTTCACCAGGAAATCTTCAAGCCAGAAATTTTATTCAAACCACAATTTTTGGCTACCTGCTTTTGGGAGTGCTTTGACTCAGGTGCATATGCCAGTGCAGTGAGATGCATGCCACATTTGGCAGACTGGCAAATCAGAGTGGGGAAATATACTTTGATTTCATTGCTGTATGGTGAATATTTACTGTTCTTTAATCACGTCTGTAGTTTGTTGGATGTGCAAGAATGACAATTAAATAAAATCATTTATGAATGACTTCACTCAAGATCTAGTGTACATGTATCTGAATTTGTGCCACAGTTTTGGGTTAGGCCAGATTCAAACATTAATAGACTTCCATACATGATATTGAAAATTGAGTGACAGCTATCATATATGGAATGCATTTTCACATGCCTTCCAGAATGTTATCTACCTATGTCTCACCAGGCTAGCAGCCTTGTCCACATCTAATCAGCCTGGTGAATGCATCTACAGGTGTCATCATCATCCATCACTTGCATTGGTTGCATTTCTTAGTGTCCATAGTAGGAGGGAATGCCAGATTTAGAATAAATAGTAATTCCTGCCCCCCCCCCCCCCCCCAGTGTCAAAACAACCATAGCAACTCATTTCAAAATGGTTCCAGAATTCAACATTTCTTGTTGCCACACACACTAGATGATATCCTATTCTTGATGTAGTGTGGCATGCTTATTCACTTACTTTCAAAGTCAAGAAATATGTCATATTTCTGCACGGAACAGCAGTCATCTCGTGCAAGTAGGCGCAACAAGTTTCCCATTGTTTCAGGACAGGTCCTGAACTCCTTCCAATGTCTTCTTGGCAGCCCTGGTGATGACTTGATACATGTGCTCTACCTGCTAAAACAAAATATGTTACTGCAAAACAAGCAAAAAAGGCATGCACCTGGAAAGTATTTCTATGGGCACCTGGGTGGTCAATTCCTATTTTCTATAGGGCTCTATCTGCCAACCCCCAGTGGTGATTAGATCCACCACCTGGTGTTGAGTATTCAGCACAGCACAGACTGTAAACAATACATGCTGCCCTGGAACATCCTGCACAGCAGCAACAACATACACCGCATTGACTGCACATAAATCCATTACCATCAGTCATGCACAAGTTGCTCCACAAGTCCAGTGCAGGTGTCACCATCTTCAGAGAGCTGCCAACTTCAGCACATCAAAGGCCAATATTCAGGTGACTATGATCCCAAGGAAATTTTACACATTTCCCCATGACATGTTTTACACTGAAGCAAGTTGGAAGTTCAGGGCAATGAGTCCCGGTCCGCGTCTGGGACACAGAAGTCAGCGCACAAGAAGCAAGGTGAAGTTCAGACAGTACACAAGTACATCATGTGTCACATATTGCATGCACACCAAGCAGATATTTTTTTGCAGGCTGGAGTGTGACTATGTTACCCAGGTTCAGATAGGTGAACAGGGCTGCTCCAAAGCTACGGCCCTCTCATTTGAGCTTTTGTTTGCACAGCTTACTGACACATTTCCCGTACTATCAACCTGTCTTGTACAGATTTAAAGCAAAACTTTACATGGTAAATCCAGTGTGATTTTGACCCATCTAGAGCATACCAGTAGGAATAGCTGATAGTTCCTGGAAAGCCAATTATCCCATTTGGAACAGGGTCAGACCTGATCAAAACACCTTGCTAGACTAGTCTCAGCCTCTCAGGTCTGCCACTTTATGGACATAAGCAATGGGATTTTGGTCTTTTCAAGCTATGGGTGGCCCTCCCCCAATGCATTGCCCTAGTTCTGAAGCCCACATTCTGAATGCAGCATTTCAAAGCTGTGACTACTATACCTGTGAATCTAGGGGGTGTGTAACAAATCATACAAGAGTCAAACTTAACCTAGCAATAATTAAAAAAGTGGGCCTTCAAAGGAGACCAATCCGTCATCCACGCATATTTCGGAGTGTTTAAGCTGGCAGGCTCTTAATTCGCCTTCCCCAATCATTGGTACACGCTCCGCCAGTGACAGGCACATCACGCACACACACACCCTACGTTTTTCTCGCGAAGTGTGTCAAAACCTTCAGGGGCGCATGTAACTCATTGATCAGCTAGCAGCATTTTCAAACAAGTTTACACAGAGCAGTACCAGAAAAAGCGTGAACCCACATATTGCCCGATATTTACCTATGGTATCTAGAAAACGCGACGACCGGCAAATACCAATATATCCACCCACTGCCGACACAAAAGCCGAGTCACAGCACTGCACAATACGAGTCCGGCGGATTGCGGCGATTGCTGCGCCGTTATGATAATCAACTGCTATGAACACAAATGTGGGCCATCCCACAGCAGTTCAACAAGGGAATAATACAGAACCGCTCCAGAACCAAAGACAAAATGCCTTTGAGGTGATTGTACTCCCAAAATATAAGTACATACCTTATTAGCATACCTTATGACGTCAAGACCACTATTATTGGCAGCTTGTATGATGCCGGAACACTGCCCAAGTACTGGTCAATGCGAATTGCTCAAATGAGAGAGAGGTCAATTTAGCCCTTCCTCAGCGGTGGAGCTATCTTTTTTGAGGAAGGTCATGACCCCCATGTTGAGCTGCCCCTCTAATGTTAGGCTGTCACCCGTCTCCCAATATTTGGATGGCCGCCGCTCTATTTTGCTCGGCCTTTATAACCTGAAACCTGGTTCCTGATACCATTTGAATTATTTCAAGTAAAGATAATCTAATATTTTATTGAGACTCCGCAAAGTTGCTTGAAAAGTTGCATTTTGCAAGTTGCATTTTGTAAGTCGCCCGCAAAAATTTACATTTTGTAAGTCGCCAACCTCACAGTGAATGCTTGTGCGTCATTAGGGCTTTACGACGCTTCTGAGACTTTATGGCGACGCCTGCCTCTTATGCTGACGGACGAGGCGGGCGCTGCGGGAAATCAAAGCCCACAGTGCATAGTTAAACGCAAAAGCAATAGCTTGTAACCCTTATCTGACTCGTAATGTCACTCGAGAGACATGCCATGGTGCGAATATAGAAATGTTGGTGTTGGTAGCAGAAAGCGGCGAACCTATTAGAATTCGTAGACCGTTGACGCGTTATTTTATTTTTTGACGTAAAACATACGGCTAGTGCCCTGGAATATCAGAAGCATGCTTTACGTCATCAATATGGGAATATCGAAATATTTTGTTTCATATTGTGAGTGCATTGAAGGAGTGCTCACATTTCTTACATTGTTACTGAGGAAGGCTACAGGGCGATGCATATACATTATGAGTTCCATATATGAAAGGAACGTAAGATATAATGCGTACCCGGCACGACGAAAATTCGTCTGTCATTTGAGCTATAGGGTAAATTTGTTAAGCGCATTAGTAGCTTGCAAAAGTGGCATGTCTCGTAATACGTGGCACACGCAAGACGCAATATGTAATACATGCGCATTTCGAACAAAATTCCCCACGCATTTTCATATTGTTTTAACATGTGTGGCACCACAGAGTCGACTGGTGATGGTGTAATCTCGGTTGCTCGTGATGCCGTATCCGCCAATGCCGTTCTGAGAATCGGCCTCGAAGTCGCATAGATGAATTGCCCTGGTCAGAATCTGAAGGGCCCTTTCCCGCATAGATGAATTGCCCTAGTCAGAATCTGAAGGGCCCTTTCTCGCATAGATGAATTGCCCTAGTCAGAATCTGAAGGGCCCTTTCCCGCATAGATGAATTGCCCTGGTCAGAATCTGAAGTGTGTGAAATTTCTGTGTGTGAATTTTGTGTTGGCCTGCACGTGAACTCACTTATGTCAAAACTTGGGATTCCTAGGTCATGACCTGCAGATCAAATAAGGTCAAACAAGGTTAAACTACGGAGTGGTGTCAAAGGTGTACCAGAACCTGGATACCTGCTTTACGCAAAAGATCATTGGTGTTCATTCAAGCTGTGTTAAGCTGGTGTTCATATTGAGCACCACCGACCTTTTTCTTAGGACAGGTATCTAGGTTCTGGGGCAATCCGAACACCAATGTTGAGTTTGACCCTGTGTGACCTTATTTGATCCGAAAGTCATTACTTGAGGACCTCGAATTTTGACACAAGTGCATTCACACACAGTCAAGCACGCTCTGTAAATTTTGTATCTCTAGTTCGCTTAGTTTCTGTGATCTCAGGGGGGTCAAACTGACGCCCCATCCGAGCAAAGGGCATTCAACCGGCCATGTGGGAGCGTATTAACGAGTTGCAATGACGCGCTGGTGTTTCATGACCGTGCAGCACGAAAATGCAATATACATAGGAAAGGCTTCAAAGGAAGCGCGGGTGAGGAGGTAAGCATGAAAGATCTGGCAATTTTTACTCAGTAGAAATGACTCAGATGTTTGTACTTCAGTTGGTTTGTGCTAACTTAGATATTTTCCTAATTTTGGCAATGGAAGATAAAGCACCAGGCTATTAATTTAGGCGAGATTCTTCAGTCACTCATTCATGGCTTCCATTTGGTGGTTAGTTTGGATGACCGTGAACAGTGGCGACCAGGTGTCCCCCGGTAACTGGCGCGATGACCGGACGGCGGCCGCTAACTCTCTCTTACAGCATGTGCAATGCTGTCCATCCGATGGAACAGGCTGGACAGGAGCCTGGAGCGCTCATTGTGTGGGAAATACACAAAAGCTAGTCAACGACTGCACGACATCTGAAGGTGAAAAAAATTGCAATGCGAGTCCGGCCAAACACGCTGCGTCGATTGAAGCTTTAAGCACTACAGCATACGTTTAGTTCATTTTGTATCTAAATATCACATTATGCGGGATCTATTTTTGCACATTGAACGCGAATACTAACCAGCCTTCGGAGAAGACCCAGATGCAGCGAGGCAATTACCACTTACTCCATTCCGGGACGTCGCCGGCGCTGTTTCTGAGCTGCCTCCAGTGTCTACCCTCTTTGCAACTGCACGCACAGCTAAGCAGCTGCGAAATAATAATTCATCTCTTCCCTTATACGGCTGTTAGACGTGATAACCCGTAGCGGTCACACAGTATAATTCGTTACTGAGCCCCAGCGTCTGTAAGAGTGTTTCAAACGATGTCACGGGTCAACAGTTAAGTGTGCCTTAAGATAACGTTGTAAAAGGTGTCTAAGACGTAGAGGAAATGCAGCTTTTCATTGACTTCTCTTGCTTACCAGTTTTGGTGTCGAAACCGAGTCTGTCGTGGTGGCAGCGACGCCATCTAAGCCTTCGCCCTCGATGTGCTGAAGCGCATGGAGATCTGCAGTTCAGAGGTAGGTAAGATTCCATCCCTCATTCTGATTGGCACATCACACACCGCAATCCCGCCCATCGTGCAGTCCCTGCAAATGCCATAAAAGGCAGCACGCTCATGTTTTTTTGCTTACAAGGCAAACCTTAAATGTGCAAGGGACACAAGTAATTTTGCCTCCAAAGCTAATGATTATGTCAAGAAGCAAAACCAGGAGAGTATGCTACCCTTCAGCACTGCAAACAATCTTACCAGCTAACTCCAAAGAATGCGGGACAACTAGAAGAGCGTCGAAGCTGGTCCCAACGGTCAGGCCGCCCTCTTCGTCATCACTGGCTTGAGGAGGGACCAGCTGTTCGTAGCGGCCGTGCCTCCAGGAAATAAAAGCAAGGTCATCTGTATAATTTCAAACTATGATAAGTGACCAGCGAAAGAACAGCGCCGAAACCAGTGGAAATACACGAAATTGCACGGTATTGACCATGGCAAGCGAAAAACATGTTGTATATACAAATGTGGTCACATGCACTCATGTGCTTTAATCAGGTTTTTAAAAACCGTCACGCAGTTTCTAAGTCTTCGAGGCTGTCCCAGAGAAAGCAGCGATTTTAATGACTGTTGGGGTCCTCCGCAAGTACCAGCCACTGAACCTAAAAAAGATACTTTATTGAAGAACGTGATAACAATGCTCCAAAACTGTTAAAATTTGATGGTCTCATTCTGCTTGTACTCGAACAATGCAGACAGGGTTATATCCTGAGGGTGGTGTGAGGAGGCATCTAACCATGCCACCCGCCATTTGAGCCAGTCATGAGTCACCCTTTTAGGCCACACCAAAACTTCATGAAAAAACTTTCCCATGTTAAGGACATGCCAAGGACGGACGCCTCAAGCCCGGTGACCAGGTGCTGGAGGTTAACAACGAGAACTTCCGCAATGCCAGCCACATCCAGGCGGTGGCCATGCTGCGCCAGACACCGGCCAAGGTGCAGATGCTGGTGTATCGAGAGGAGAGCGCCATCAAGGAGGAGGACGTGTTCGAGACCATGGACGTGCAGATGGTGAAGATGGTGATTTCTCCTTCTCGTTTCTGGTCGTTGACGTTTTTTGCCTAAGAAGGTCAAAGTGACCAAAAACCTACGTGATTGCTGCTATTTGTCATTTAAACAAACGTCAGGGATTACGCTGCGCGGCATATTCCTAAAGCAAAGGGCTTATGGCATTTTGGGTCAGCGACCTGCCCTGATCTTAAACAAATCAATGGAACATATCTGCTGCGGTCCCAGGTATTTATAAATTTGAAATGACTACCAGAACTACCTCATAAAGCAGGCTATCGAGCAAAACAACGAGCTAGTTTTGAACTCGGCCTGACTTTCACACCTGATCCTAAGTGAGTGGATTTTGTTGCACTCATAAGCTCAGTTAATTTATTGTTTAAGCAACTTCTTCAGAGATGCATAGCTTCGTCTGTCACTCCACTGGCGTATCAAATTAGGCAATTCCCTTGAAATCGTCTTTCGTTGACATTCACGGCCTGACTTCGACCACGCATGGATCAGCGAACTTACAAGTTACATCTGATTTGATACCAAAATATTCGTTATCTAATTGCGTACAGCTGTACAAAGTTTGGCGCGGCTAAGCCACGCCGTTCGGAAATTATTTTGGAGAAAGCCTTCGGGGTCAAATTGATCTCCCCACCCAAGTGCCTGCCAAAGAGAAAGTTTCACATTTGAAGATATTGAAGCAAGCATCAGACACGAGGAAACAAGCTCACTTATAACTATTGGTATGCTTTTAAGTAGTCCCTAGAGAACACAACTTCCCTGTATAGTAAACATACTTTTCCATCCGTCATTGTTTGGTAACGTCATCGTACCTTGCACAACATTGATTGAGAGCCTATCGACGGTCGGCATATCTGAAAACCGTACTCACGAACGCCAGATATGAAAGGACTCAATCATTATATTTTTCTCGGCCTTGATCGCCAGCATGGCTTATGGAATGACAGGACTTGAATAGCGTTATTATGATGCCATGAGTGCCAAGGTGACCTTCAATACGCTCCCCGAAACGCTCTTTCCCTATTTCTGCGGGCGTGTAGCTCAGAAACTAGAAGGACTTAGGTCTTAAGAAGGGCAGGGTCATGAGCCGCACCAAAAGGGTCTTCCAAAATATCGATTTCAGTTCAAAACCCCCTGTAAGTGTGAAAAACTCCCTTTAATGTAGCCATGTCGTCCACAAGTGCCTGAAAGGGAGTGTCTCACCTTTGGGGCATATTTCAGAAACGTACGTAAGTAAAACCTCAGGACTAGTTACGTCTAGTAAGAGCTCTGGGTAGTGCAACTAGAGCACCGTCAATACATAATATGGACATTAAGTTTTCATTATTGTCGGGTCCAAATAACTCTAAACGCCTCGTAACAGCAAAACGCTTCCTCCCTACAGGCAGCACCTCCGTCGTCATGACAACTGCCGTGCGCACCTGTACTGGCGCGAATAAAAGAACGTTTGTGACTAGCACAGCGGGCAAGGTTTTGTTACCGAGGAGCGCATTGGTCGAAGTTTGAACCAGTGCGTTTCATGGGTCATATGGTACGCCCACTCCCAAAGCCAAAGTGCGCCTCGAAAAGAGCCACTGTGGTGAACGCCATATGGAGCGGCTGGGAAGGGGGAGATAACAGTCATAGTACCGGTTCATTGTATTTCATGTTCGCACATCTTTTTATCCAAACAGAATATTCAAGCTTTCGTAGCATTTATCACGCAGACCTTTTGACATATTGGCGTGTTGCAAAAATTACAGAACACATACGTCGGAAAAAACATCACAACTTGAATATTGCGCTTTATAGTGGTGCGCAGGAAGTGAAATCAGATTTCTCCCGCAGGGTCGGCTACTTCAAATAAAAACTCTGAGCTAATTCAGAGGGATTTTGAGAAAACTGGTATTGCTGATCAACTCGTACGTGTCTGGCAAAACAAAAGTGGGAATTACGAAAACGTGGGATGCTGCCCTTAAACCTTAACACGTGCCGGGTGGCCGGTTGAATAAACACCCTTCGCTAGGGTGGCGGGTCTATTTGACCCCCTGACATTTCAAAAAACAATAAAGCTACAAACACCAAATTTACCGAGTGGGTTGACCTGTAGGTGAACGTGCTTGTGTCAAAATTTGAGGCTTCTGGGTCATGGTCTTGGAGTCAAATAAAGTAAAAAGTCAAACTCCCTATTAGGGCCTCAAATGCCCCCAAGCCTTCCATGCGATCGCCGTGAAACTATTCCCTGTTCAAAGCAGAAGGTCAACGGGGTCAGTAGCCTTGTTTGACCTTGATAAGGTCAAGGTGACTAAATACCTAGGGGATGGCTCCTATTTTGTCATTCGAATAAACATCAGGGATTACGCTAGACGGTATGTTCCTTAAAACAAAATGTTGACTTAGGTCATTTTAGGTCAGTGACCTACTCTGACCTTCAAAAGTCCATGGAACATGTCTGCTGCGGTCTCTGCCATTAATAAACTCGAAATGAGCACCAGAATCTACTCCAACCCAGACTACCCAGAAATACCAAGCTCTCGAGTGAAGAGCAGGTTTGTTTTGATCTTGTTCTGGCCTTCATACCTGGCCCTAGGTCAATAGAATTGGTTGTGATTCTAAATCCAGTTGGTTTGTTGCCTAAGAAACTATCTCATCTATATATGACTTCGTCTAACTCTCCGTTGTTACGTCACATTGAACGATTCCCTAGAAATGCCCTTCGCTGACAGCCACGGCCTGACTTTGACATATCATAAGTCAGCGATGTTACCAGGTACATCTAATTTTGTACAGTTGCCCAGGGTTTGGCGCGGCTAGGCCGCGTTGTTCAGAAATAATTCTATATAAACTTTCGGGGGGGGGGGGGGGCAAGTTAATCCACACCTGAGCGTGTGTTAATGAAGCAGTGTCAGACCACCGCGAACGTTCCGCGACATCGTCGGCTGCCGCCAACCGCTCGTTCCGGCCGAAGGTCGCTGCGCAGTGTTCTTCAAAAAACACTCTGCCCCAAAACCATAAAAATTGGAAACACGTTTTTGGTGTCGGCACACACGTAATGGATGACCCACATACTTGTAAGAATTTGGGCGCAATTGCGCAACATGCAGGAGAGGCATACTCAAAAACCTTAGGGAGTCTCGCCGACCCTTCTTTGACCGCGTTCCTCCCTATGTAAATATTTCGCATTCTCGCGCCAGTCCTCACCGTGAAATGCTGCCTTGCACTTGGTGGCCACATCCATGCATCGTGGTTCAATTCTACGCACAATTGCCCCGCCCACCACACGGTATGGCTGTGCGAGACGGGAAAAGTTCGGTTGGTGTTCGCCACAGAGCACAGCACAGCGCGCCAGGAAGGAAAAAATATGCTCGCTGCATATGTATATTGCCTTCATTACCATGTTCATGTGCGAATGATTCTTAAACTTAATACTTTAATTTCTAATACCAAACACCAGTACTCGTCAAAGGACTCGCTTGAACAATAAATCAGTATCAAAACACTGTCAAACACCTAGTCAAATTTCGGTGAGCAGATTCTCCATAACACATGAAGGACCCCTCGCCGGTAAAGCCGCAGAATTCCACCCTCTTTGGCCCGCCACCAAGAACCTACCCCAGGGCGGCCCCGTTGCGGAGTGCCACGAGCGGCCGAGTTCCATGACTTTCAAAGGATTTGCGCCGGACTGATACAAGCCTTTCTGATACTGATGCAAGGGGATACTGATACTGATACAGATACAAGCTATTGCGCATGCACACCACCTCGCTATAACACCTGGAGCACCCGATTCGGAGGTTTTCATCGCTCGGCGGCCGGCCCCGGCTTCCCGAGCCAGCGCGGCAACCAGCCCGCTGCCATCTAGCGAGAATGTTCTCAATCAGCTGAACCTTGGTGCCGTTTCCGGCCGAGTCACAAAGACGGTGTCCGTGTACAGTTCCTAGCGCCCGCACCATGTCAACCGCGGAACGGCGATGCGAGCGCCGCACCGCCGCGGGTGAAAATGTTTACACCTAAAAGAGCGAAGGTTTATTTGAGCTGGCATATTGGAATCTTACGAGAATGGTCGGGAAGTCACGGCTTATCAGAGTACTAATTTGCTGATTACGGTCCGCTGTTTTACTTTGACCTCTTGGAGCTGCTGAAACTTCCTTGATTGCTTCCCTTCTTCTCAAACTAATGGCATAAATGTGTGAATACATGCTGGAAGTCAGAACTTGCAGATACACAGGTGAAAAGAGATTGGTGGGGAACATGCAGGCTTGTTCTACACCACGCAAAAAAAATTACGCGCCTGCTGCGCGCTGCATTCGGTTTTCAGAGACATATTTTCAGTTGTGCTCTCGCACCGTGAGATCCTACACACACGAACATCGGATCGGCTCAATGGATCTGGCGGTAATGGCTAGTGGAAGGTGGAAGGTGAGGATAGTCGGGAAATACTTGAGAAGTGTAGAGAAAAAAGCTGCCATATCTTCACTATGCTGGAGGGCATATTGGTGCAAATTCGATGTGGTGTAGACGATTATCCAAGCTGCCGTTAATAGTAATAACCCGGGACGCATTCTCGGCCTGGACGAAATTCTGAAATAATTTGGCCCCAAAATTACCTAGTGGCGAACGCTGAACTTTGAGCTGTAGCCTAGGTTTTACACGCTTGGGTTTTGGGTTGTAAATCAACGCATCGGAACTCGCAAAGGAGGGTTTGTAGAGTGTGTCTGTGGTGTTGGCGCCACTCAAGTCTAGTTCCGCGGCGTTAAGGCGATGGCTGGCAACTTTTGGCAAAGCTCTCACTAGTAAGTGTTTATCTACAACTGTTGGTGTTATGTTGAGTACAATGAAATGTTGTCTGCCTCCACCTCAGTGTGATGGGTCTAGTATGCCATTAAAATGAAAATGTGCTCTAAAGGTTTGATCCCGTGAAAACATCACGCTTTGGCTAAACGTTAAAAGCTACCCCATAACCTCCCAATTTACTCTAAATTTTAATGTGAGTTGTTGTTGAAATTGCTAGCAAGAAGGAAGTTGCACAATGAAGAGTATTTTCCAGGCTTGCATCCCAATTTTGGTGGATTTGGTTTTCCTTTTACACCACTTTTCAGGTCAGCTTGTATACCCTGTTTAGGTGCTTTCATATGTTAGGCAGGTCTATGTATACAAGGGAACACTTGAAGCTTGCTTATGTGAGTAAGCAGTGTTTCTTGCTTATGGAAATGAATTTTATAATGTACTGTATATAATCTTTGATGGTTTATCTTTTTTCATAAATGAAACTTTTTTAGCCAGCTGACTAGTGACCATTCATATCAGTTAGACCAACTAGTGTGCTTGCTTGGGCTCTCAAAGCCACTGTAGCTATGACCTGTCAAACACGTTTTTTTCCATGACCGCATGGCCAGCAAACATTCACAGTTCTGGCTTACTGCTGCAATGTATAGTTAAATGATAGGCTTGATTATGTGGGACATTGAATTATCCTCCTTTTGAGTCTGTGTTAAAGCCAAGTCTTCACAGCATTATCACAGTATGAAGGCAGATCAATATTGGTGAAACAGACAACATCTCAGCATGTCTAGCTAAAAATTTGTCTTTTTTTGCAGCACTGGCTTGACATGGTGATATCAGTATGCCCTGTTAGCAGATAAAATGCTAAATTATCTAGAGTTTGGTGTCATGTAGCAGGTTGCTGTCAGCTTGTGTTTCCCAGTAGCTCACTTGGTTAAAGGACTGTTTTTTTACTCACCCACTAGTGGCAGCTGGCAGGTTGAGTTGGGTCAATTTTATGCCCTGTGTTTGTCCCTGCCTGGGCTGGGTGGTAGCTAGTGGGTGACTGGCAGCACTTGTGCTACTGGTCAGATGATGTTGGAGGATATAAAGGACTGGACTGAGCATCACTGCACATTAATGTTTTGTCACAACTTTCTGTTGACCTGGAATTTCAGAATCAGATGATGGGGACAGGGCTCACATAACAAACATTGCCTGGTGTGGGCTGTGACCCCAGAAATAATTCTAGCCAGGCTCTAAATGTTTGGACTAAACATGTCAAAAGTGACAACATACTTGTGGAGTGCATGATTGCTTATCATTTAGTATTAGATAGTGGTTGTGATTATTGCCCCATGCAAAAATATATTTTACCACAAGTAAGAAAACCAGCTACACAAGGTGATTTTGTGGTCATATGATGACACCTGTTTCAACTAACACTGTGTTTCAGTATGCTGTAGGGCTGCTGTGCTATATAAATATCACTGGTTGTATATGCTCCATGCCTACTCCATGCATCTTTTCAGCCAAGAATGGGTGTTAGACAAGCAGGAATTGAACAGTAACCGGCAACTAGACCTTCAAGTACTGTCGGAGGAAGAATATCAGAAGATCATGATTTTCTTTGCAAACTGTAAGTTAATTGTATTGCTTTGCATTGCTTTATGATGTTCAGTCTTACATAGGGTTTTTCTTGTACACCTGTATTGAGTGGGCAAGAACTGCAAATACTATTTTTAGAAGTTCTAGGATGTTCAGATGGGAGGTGGGGAAAAGAAACTAGGAGATTAAGAAGCTGCATGTTAGGAGCACCAGGTGCAATACTCACCAAACCACAAGGATGATCAAGAAAGAATGCAGTTAGAGACAGTTGCTAGATGGCTAAATCTAGAGGAAAAGCCATGGTTGATGAGATTCTGCTTATTTAGTGCTTTGAGGTCATTTTTGCTCATTTTGCACTGTAATACTTGTGTAAAATGTTTTCACAGCAAAGTTCTTATGCTGCTTTATCCTCACTCACCGAGACTCAATTCGTGCAACGAAATCCGTAGACGAAATCGACGGTGGCTTGCAATGGTAGCATGCTGAATAACTGTTGTTGTTCGCCCTTGACATTTATCAGGAAGCCCCAGAAGTTAAGCTTTTCCATCATTAAACTGTCATTTAACTTTTGCATGGTAGATGTATTTTCTGCCTTGGTTTTATTTTCAACTTTGTTACCTAACATGGCTCTGCATGATGCAATCTGACATGATACTGGCAAATACAAGCCATCCTGGCTTGTTCCAATACTTGAGAAGGTACATTTGTACACTGTTTTGACACCCATGAACCACTCAAACAATAACAGTATGTCAGTAAGGTGGCGTGAAAGCTTGCTTTGCAGTGCGAGAAGTCTGCAGCGCAGCAGAACCTTGGGGCCCCATGTGTATAGCTGCATGTGTTTGACAGTTTCGCCTTCACGCATACTGTTACCGGCCGCGGCCGCTCCAGTTATCCAGGTGCTGGGGTCACCAGTGCCTGACCGACCGCTGCCGCTCCATCTATCCAGGTGCTGGGGTCAGCAGTGTCTGACCGGCCGCTCCAGTTATCCAGGTGCTGGAGTCAGCCGCGCCTGACCGGCCGCGGCCGCTCCAGTTATCCAGGTGCTGGGCGAGCAGCTGAAGCTACGTCAGCAGGTGATCGCCACAGCCACCGTGTACCTGAAGCGGTTCTACTCGCACAACTCGCTGCGCTGCATCGACCCGCTGCTGCTGGCGCCCACCTGCGTCTTCCTGGCCTCCAAGGTGGAGGAGTTCGGCGTCATCTCCAACAACCGGCTCATCAGCACCTGTCAGACAGTCGGTGAGTCTGGGGCCGGCCGACGCCGCTCACCGGCTGAAGTACCTGCGCCCGGAGGCATGGGTGGCAGACCCCACGGGGAGCCCGCCGGCGGGCCCCACTGGGGTCGCGATGGCAGACCCCACAGGTGGCTCGCCGGCGGACGCTACAGGGGGCTCGCTGGCAGACCCCACAGGAGGCTCGCTGGCTGACCCCACAGGGGGCTCGCTGGCAGACCCCACAGGGGGCTCGCTGGCAGACCCCACAGGGGGCTCGCTGGCTGACCCCACAGGGGGCTCGCTGGCAGACCCCACAGGGGGCTCGCTGGCAGACCCCATAGGGGGCTCGCTGGCAGACCCCACAGGAGGCTCGCTGGCTGACCCCACAGGGGGCTCGCTGGCAGACCCCACAGGAGGCTCGCTGGCTGACCCCACAGGGGGCTCGCTGGCTGACCCCACAGGGGGCTCGCTGGCAGACCCCACAGGGGGCTCGCTGGCAGACCCCAGAGGGGGCTCGCTGGCTGACCCCACAGGGGGCTCGCTGGCGGACCCCACAGGGAGCTCGCTGGCAGACCCCACAGGGGGCTCGCTGGCTGACCCCACAGGGGGCTCGCTGGCTGACCCCACAGGGAGCTCGCTGGCAGACCCCACAGGGGGCTCGCTGGCAGACCCCACAGGGGGCTCGCTGGCAGACCCCACAGGGGTCGCGATGGCACTTTTTTAGTTTTTTTTGTCGTCGGGCCGTGTCAGCCGCTGGCTGAGTCAGCTGACGCTGGGTGCACCAGTGCCGAGGTGCAAACCCGACGGGTGGTGAGGAGGGCATCAACGCAGTTTACCTCCTGAGCTTGGCGAGACAGTCCTGCTCGGCCGCCGGCCGGCGACCCCATGCTGCCTGGGGCCGCCTCGGATGAGCCGATTGCCCATGCAGCCGTGTGGTGGGGGTGGACGTGGGGCACGTGACTGCTGCAGACATCAAATGGAATGTTGTCCTGGTCATTTTACCGGGCGGGACCACGTCTGACGCTTGTCAACTGCGCACAGCTTGTACACATCTGCGAGATTCGGTGACGTCATGGATGCTCAATGTAAGGTACGGGTAGTTAATGCGCGTTTGTGCGTGTCGTGGTCTGTGTTTGAGTAACATGCTCATTTTCAGATGCATGTTTGCTGCCACTTTTTTAATGGTGGTACAAGCTCATTTTGCTTACGTGGAATGTGTCATTTCTTTACAGTGAAGAATAAACTGGCGTACGCCTACGCTTCCGAATTTCCGTACCGAAATAACCATATACTGGAGTGCGAGTTTTATCTTCTGGAGAACCTGGACTGCTGCTTGGTGGTCTACCAGCCTTACAGGTAGATTTGTGCACGGGATGTTTAGGCACTATGCGGCGCTCTGCGCCAAATTTACGGACGTTGTTTTTGTCAACCCCACTTTCTGACCCAGAAAAGTTGCACCGGTGTTTTTTTTCTGTATCTGATTAAAGGGGACTGTTCCGTAGTGGAAGATAATGAGCTAAGTATCAGATACGATGGAAAAAGCTCGCTAACTCTAAGTATGATTTTAAGTGTAACAGACTGCTCTAAATACAACAATGTCACTACGCACACGTCAGTAATCGTTTTCATGGCGTCAGAGTCGCTCCCGGACTGACTGTCAGTTACCACCAGCGGGCGGCGTGACTTACTTGTGGTACTTCTACGCGCCGCAAGATGGCGATAGTGGTCATGCGTGAGAAGGTGAGGGTGAGAAGTGCACGTTTTTTAGCACGAACATTATGCGCGTGTTTTTTTTTTGTCCTGTTCTCGTGATGCTCTTGTACACGCACGACCAGGGGGGGGGGGGGGGGGGGAAGGGAGAGGGCAGACAACCAGACCGTGTCAGTGGCGTGTCATTAGTATCTGCTGTCTCTCCGCCAGGCCTCTACTGCAGTACACGCAGGACCTGGGGGCAGATGACCAGACCGTCTCCGTGGCGTGGCGCCTCATCAACGATAGCTTACGGACGGATGTATGCCTTCTCTACCCACCTTACATGATCGCACTCGGTAAGGACGCATTCCAGACGGCCACACGCGTGGCCTAACACTACCTGCAAGCCACGCGAGGGTTCGTGTCGTCTGCTTGTTTAGTAGTTCAGTCAGAATGACCGCAATTTTCATGTAATTAGGCCAGATTTATGGAGTTCCGAACTCAAGCGGTAGCTGTTGCATGCCTCTTGGAATAATTAAGTAAGCAATGGCTGAGTGGTCTTTATCTCGCCAGCGCGCTCAAATCTTGTGGGATTAGCATGCATGATGCATATGCATTTTAGCACATTCGACTCGATCAGCCGTCTAGACAGTGTCGGCCAGATTGATTTAGAGCCGCGGGATGATCGCGTACGATCTGTTAAAATGTCGCGTCGGGCTGCCGAGCGACTCTGGCGGCCCGCCGACCGCGGTTTGTCTGTCCGATTGGCCCATCATCATTGGGCTCATGAGACCGTGTGGAATCGGCCGTCTGGCTGGGACTGGGGGAGGGGGGAGGGGCGCCTGTCGCCGGTCGCCGGGTGCACGTGTACCCCAACAGCGGCCGCGGTCGGGCAGGCCGGCGGGCGGTGGGCGGTGGCGTCTGCCGTGCGCCCGCCGGCCGCGTGGGCGGGCGGCGGCTACGATGGCCGGTCCCGCGGGATGTCCGTCGATGCGGGGCCAATGGCGGGACGCCGCCGTGGCGGCCGCTGCCCCGTCCGCGGACGCTGGACCGCCGGCCGCCGCTCGGCCGCGCCGGGCCGGTGACGACCACACCAGGGGCACGGCCCCGACGCCAGCACCAGTGGCATCTCATCTCGGGCATGCACGTCCCAAACTGGCGCCTCGCTCGCTGGGAGGCATTGATTGGTTTAGCCAGCAAGACAGTGCGGTTTCATGGCAGACAGCCAAACGTGATTAGCCGGCAGCACGCTTCTGCGCTTCGCGACTTACAGGCTGCTTAAAAAATCTCACAACCCAGCCAGACTCGGCGCCAGGGCGGGAGCCAGTTTGAGCAGCATGGGTCCAGGAATCCTTCTGATTTAGGTGCAGCAATACAGAAAGGCCATAGGCACTTTTCGCACGACTTTAGACGTTGGTGGGTTTTGTCACGTTTAAACTTTTAGAAGCTGCAATATGAATGTCACCGATGCCTTGGGGCAGAAAGTGGGCGGCCTACGTACCGACATGAAATGCAGGGAAAGATCAAGATGGATAGATATGAATGGGAAGGAGGGAGAGCGAGATATAAGAACATTGGAAAACCTTAGTTGTCTCACGAGAATGCGTCAGGGTATCCAGATATTGGAGGAGTGACCGCGGCGTGGGGAATGAACTGGGGAAACACCATGGCCTGATGAGTGGTCACACGTTGTGCCATCGATCCGACGCGTAGTAATACGCGCCATTTTTCGGCCGACAGCCTGCCTCCACATGGCCTGCGTGATCCTGAACAAGGACCAGAAGGCGTGGTTCGCCGAGCTGCACGTCAACTTGGAGAAGGTGATGGAGATATCCCGGCACGTGCTCAGCCTGTACCAGCTATGGCGGGGCTACGAGGAGAAGAAGGAGGTGCAAGCACTGCTGCAGAAGATGCCCAAGCCCAAGACGCAACCCTCCAGGTAACCGGCCGCAGGCAAATTGTTTTAGCGTATACGAGGTGGCCATCTACACGAGGAAATCGCGCTTAAAAAGCTTATTTCACCCCACCTTTGCCGATTTGAACATCGTGCTTGAGCCATGAGGCAGATGCACCGTGTGTCGATATGTATTTAGGGCATATCCACTCGCCTTATAGTCTTCGAACGTTCGTGGCAGCTACCTGGTGGCAGTATGGGACAGTAGAAAGATCATTTAGCCACCTAGCGCTATTACGTACAGACCATGCATGGTATTCAGTGTCACGAACGCCCTGTGTGCACCAGATATGTCCTTAATACCACTGGCTAATACTCCTGTCTTATATAGATGTGTCCCTGGTTTGCGTGGCTGGGATAAATGCTGTGTCGCTCACATGCCACAATATTCTGCTGACAATTGGTGGCTGCCTGACGGCGGCCAGCTATCTTCTTTCAGTGCGGAAGTCGGATGTTGAACTAGTATGTTATGGACGCTGTTCGATATCAGCAGTTTAAGTTTACAAAATTCCCCACTCAACAACGTATGTGTGACTGGTGTGCCCAGCCGCTGTTGCGCCCGGATCTAAACAGCCGGTACCCGATTGTTACCGGGTGGCAGGCACAGCATGACGCCGACCGGAGAAGTGGCGCGCTAGCTCTCACCGGCGCCGGCCCACATCGGTGCCAGCTCACACCGGCGCCAGTTCTCACCGGCGCAGCTCACACCGGCGCTAGCTCTCACCGGCGCCAGTCCACACCGGCGCTAGCTCTCACCGGCGCCAGTTCACGCCGGCGCTAGCTCTCACCGGCGCCAGTTCCCACCGGCGCCAGTTCACGCCGGCGCTAGCTTTCACCAGCGCCAGTTCACACTGGCGCAGCTCACACCGGCGCCAGTTCTCACCGGTGCCAGTTCACACCGGCGCAGCTCACACCGGCGCAGCTCACACCGGCGCAGCTCACACCGGCGCTAGCTTCCACCGGCGCCAATTCACCCCGGCGTTAGCTCTCACCAGCGCCGGCTCTCACCGGCGCCAGTTCTCACGGGCGCCAGTTCACACCGGCGCAGCTCACACCGGCGCTAGCTCTCACCGGCGCCAGTTCACGCCGGCGCTAGCTCTCACCGGCGCCAGTTCACACCGGCGCAGCTCACCCCGGCGCTAGCTCTCACCGACGCCATTTCACGCCGGCGCTAGCTCTCACCGGCGCCAGTTGCCAACAGTGCCAGTTCACGCCGGCGCTAGCTCTCACCGACGCCAGTTCCCATCTGCGCCATTTCACACTGGCGCAGCTCACACCGGCGCCAGTTCTCACCAGTGCCAGTTCACACCGACGCAGCTCACACCGGCGCTAGCTTTCACCGGCGCCAGTTCACCCCGGCGTTAGCTCTCACCGGCGCCAGCTCTCACCCGCGCCAGTTCTCACGGGCGCCAGTTCACACCGGCGCAGCTCACACCGGCGCTAGCTCTCACCGGCACCAGTTCACGCCGGCGTTAGCTCTCAGCGGCACCAGCTCACACCGGCGCCAGCTCATATCGGCGCCAGCCCACACCGGAGCCAGCTCATATCGGCGCCACCTCACACCCGCACCACCTAACGCTAGCATCGTTCTGCGCGCAGACCGCCATCCAGCGCGCAGAAGGACCTGAACGGCCAGGCGAAGGAGCTGGGCGGCAAGCACGGCTGAGTGTCGCCTGACCCGGCGTCTGGAGTGCCGAACGACTCAGGTGCCGTCACGTGCGCGCTGGGTCGGCGGCCCCTCCCGACTACGGTTTTCATGTCTCCGCTCAGCTCTGCCGCGCGCCGCCGGCTCTCCTTGTGGCAGTGCGTTGACCTCCGAGTAGTGGGCAGCACACCAGGCCCACCCGAGCCTGGTGCAGGTCGCTGCCCCGTGCATGCCTCGTCTGCCGGCCGCGGGCCGAGCTCACCTCGCTGTGGTGAACACTGTCGGCTCGGTGTGGTGAGCCCGGCCCGCCCTGTGGGACCCGCCAGCGGCGCCGTGCGGCCCCGCAGCCGACAAGACCGCGGGGTCCGCCGCGGCGCGCTCCGGCGGCGGCCAGGGGACGGGCCGCCTGCAGCGTGGCGGGACGGAATAGGGCGACCCTCACAGTGCCACAGCATTGCCAGACTTGTGGTGACGACTCAGGCGTGCGCCGGTGGGGGCATGACCAACGACGTGCATTTGGATTGCTCCGCAACCGGTGTTTTAGCATCAGCTGTTTCCTAGCCACGAGTGTGTTGTCGTTCACTGGAAGGTCGCAGGTAGCCTACGAACAGATGTGAAACGCTTTTGCTCTTGACTGTGATGCTGTCGACCTCATGCCGGCGGACGGAGCGGCGGTCCCGCGCGACTGCCGTATTTTGTATTGTTTCTTAGCCAGATGCTGATGTCTCTCGGCAATACACATCCAGTGTTTGTCGCCCTGTCTCGCTTGGTGCTTGATATGTCCCTGCACAACAAGGCGAGCATTGTGTTGCAGTGCAGAGAAATGGATGTCAAAAATACGCGAAAAGAAGACGCTGCTACCCTCACGGTCTTGGGGAGCATGCTGCTGTCCTTGTCGCTAGGCGGCCGCGAAGTCTCATCATAGTATCTCTCAGAACGTGTGGATTTCACTCCCTTTTGGCCCTAATTCTCTGAGGTACATTTTACACGTATATACGGCATCCTGTCCCGTGCTCAAACATCCTCTGATGCCGTCTTCACCCGGCACTTACCATGTGAGGACGATTTATCATGATTCAAATCCCTATAGAGTGTGTAACATTCATTTGTTGTAGGATTTGCCCTTCTCTGGCCTGGTTCGTAACCATCATCGTTAGTATTCGCGGCTTATGCCCATTGATTTTCATTCAAGCTGTATTGTCTGCTTACACATTGATTTAAGGCTCCAGCTGCCTTTGCATTGCATTGAAACGCACGCATTTTCACCTTGCATGAGTTGATGTCACAAACTTGACGTTCCTTCCATACCTTCAAAACTTTCTCAGTGCAATGTCATGGTTCTGTACTTGATATAAGCGACAGAATCCGCGATCCACCGGCTTGTTTGGGATTATGCGACCTTGTTCGCGGCATGACCTCATGACCATGAGCACCGCCCTCGTCGAATATTCTTGAATGCAACATAGTCAAGTATTCTCATAATGCACCACACCTTAGGGTCTTCGTTCACCAGTGACTCCAGATATACCGAAGGCTCATTATTTTCAGCATGAAGACTCGAATGTAAGGTCTCGGGAGGCCAGCGCTTTTATGGTAAGCATTCTGAACTATTGTGCGGGCGTATGACTAGTTTCGGTAGTTTTTGTTTTCGGTAGCCTTTGAAGTACTGACTTTTTAGGACCATTGCACGGCGTTCCATGACCGGCGCGGGCGGCGAGAGGCAGCAGGCGATCCGCGGACCGTGCATTGACGGCGTCATCAGCATGAAAATATGCTTAAAACACAAAAATACACGCCGTTTTCTCAATTATGAACACGAATAAAACAAGCATGTTTCGGTTTCATCGCACTAGGGGTACAGTTTTGTACATGGGAGCATGTAAAGGTGAAATAACAAAATTTTCAGGAAATTGACTTTTTCCTGGCCTAATTGGGCCAGTGATTGACCTAGCAACATCAAATTTATTACCAAAAGCAAGATGTCGTGGATCCACCGTTGTTTTTTGCGAGGCTCTGTCCTTATCTTGGAAATAGCAGCGTTGGCACCGAGCCCCCTATCAACCCGCGTTATGCAAAAAGGCGGATCACGGCGAGGGTTAATATCCTCTCTGGTCAGCCGGGTCCTTCGGACGGGCAGGTCCGAGCGTCTGAGGCTGGATGAGATCTGTCTGTCCCGCCTGTCAGGCTGGCTGTGGCTGATTGGAGACTGGTGCCGCATTCACAGGGGCGTGCGGCTCCACCGCCTCTGAGCCACGCGCCGCAGCACCGGCGCCGCGAGACCTGCCACGGACCGCCGCGTGTTGACCCTCCCCCTTCTCCTCCCCCGAACGGCTCTGAGCCCTCGCAGTCGGGAAGGGGAGCTGAACTCACTGAAAACGGCCGCTACCAGTGTGAGAAAGTGGCGGTTTCCGTGTGATGGCTGGGAGACCGGGCGAGGTACGCTTAGACTGCGACCGCGGCGCCTCCCGGGGCCCGCCCACGCTCCGCCGATGGCGCGGCTACGGATCCGGCGCAGCGTGATGCTAATGGCCGAACTTTCCCAATGCGTCTTCCGTGCAGCAATGCATCGCCAGCGCGTAGCCGTGCGGAATAATCTACTCCGGGACCGGTCTGGCCACGGACCCGGATTGCCAGGACCCGAAAAACGGATAGCCATGCAGGTCATGAAACAGCGAGTGTTACGCCCCTTACGTGTCATGTGTGGGGTGTCATCTGTGGTTCATTCCCTGCACCTGATTTCAAAGAAGAATAGACGTCGAGGCATCATCAAAGCTTCTTTATTTGATGCGGTTTTGGCATAAGTGAATTTACCCGTGATGACACTGCGTCCACCAAGAAGTGTATCCGGACATATTTAAATGTCGTCAAGGTACGACTTGCACATCTGCTTGGCAGAATTCTCCGTATATCGTTCGCAACGATTACGCCGAAAAGGTGGTAGGGCAAAGCCCATTTACAAATGAACCCCTTGCGTGGATCGCATGAAACGATGTGGCCGGTACTAAACTGATGACAAAAGTGGAAGCAATTGCGCCCCGTCCCCCTTCCGCCTGTTGTTACAAAATAATTGAGATCCGTAAGAACCCGGTAAATGCTGCCGGCGTTCATGCTTGGTTGCAAGGCATTGATCAACATGATAAAACGGGAAGTGAGTGCCACCTCGTTGGCTATTATCATTAAGGTATGTGCGCTACACCTGCCCCGGTGAACATAATGGTCTTCCCTGACCAGTCATTGAACGCCTAAGGCTTTGATGGGTTGCAGTGCACATACCGATGTCATTCTACTGGAAATTGATGATTGCTGGATTACCAGCTTGTGATACCACTTGGAATATTGTTCATATTTTGTTGTTCATATTGTAACATATCTTGATCATTGCCACTGAAAAGTATGAGGCAAAAAAGCTAGCTTGGATTTGAATGTGAAACGTGTAGGATGTGGGGAATGTAAAACAGCTATGGCAATTGTCATGTTTATGCCGATCCCCTCCAGCCATGTTAATAAATACTTCCTACGAAGCAGACTAAACGCTCCCAGAGCTATATTTCTGGGTAATGTGATGACTTAAGCAAAAGTAGTTTCCTGTCAGTTAATCCAACTTACGTGCATTGCTTAGCTACTTCCGCGAACAATTCCCAAAATGACCAGCACGTGTTTACGAAATGTAGGCGGGCTTTCTATTTGAGCGGGACAATCCGACCCGATGCCGCTGAAATAACTGTACGTCTGTTAATAAAAACTTGGCTTTTCCAGAAACAAGTAGGCCAACGTAAAAAAGCCCAATACCAGCAGTGTCTTGCTGGAAATGGCTTCATCCGCACGAAACATCGTTTCCAAATGCGCTGTGATGGCTCTGCGCACCTCCTTCGAAGTCGCCTGACTCAAGGCTGTCTATCTGCAAGATGCCAGAATAATAAGAAAAAGATGCTCAATAAGTTTTTACAATGGGATGACTAACGTATGCTATTACAGCAACATTTGGAACGTATAATTCATTTACGTATCATAACACACATAACGTATCATACATACATAAGCAGTGACGTAGCTACAACGATACTTTGGCGCCATAACAGCTTCACGGAGATAAACGGAAGGAAACTAGTGCAATAAGACTTCTGGAGACTTGCGGCTACAGCCATTTGTTGTATTGAAGGATGGCGTATTGACTAGGAGAAAGCTATGGAAGGGGTTGAAAGGAAAAAGCTATATGACGAGGAGACTAGGATGCTAATTTCAAAGTAGGAAGTTTGCTTTCACCTGTAGGGGGCAACACCAAATATCGAGGATGGGGCGACCTTTTCTTGCGCCCGGCGTAGCAGACGCTCGCTCGGCTTATTCTTGCAAAATGTCCCCACGCTGAGTTCGTTTTCGTGTCCCTTCACTTTTTAGGCCATGAAAGCCACAAATTGGCCGCAGTTGTGGCGATCGATATGCTGTAAGCGGTGGTTGGTGTCAGCCTTCAGCGCCGATGTTATGCAGGAAGTAGCTCTGTCCGACTTCCTGGATCAGATCTGCATTAGGCCCGCTATTAGGAATGGAATATGAGGTATCATGAACCATCATTGGCTCTAGAGTATACCTGAAATTGGCAGGCGTCTTCACTATGATGCACCGAATAAAGCGGACAGCCAAGCATCACAGCCGTCGGCATATTGCCGAGAGTGTTCACACCAGGTGACATCCGCTTCAAAAAATCACCCCACAAACGGCAAAGGTAGGTGCAAACATAAATTATGCGTCAAAATTAGTTAAGCATGACCGCGCTCGATCCTGGCAGGGGGGGGGGAGGGGGCATACACCATGACCCCTTCGTACGCTGCCCTCTGATGTAGTTCCCTGAGGGCTGTGGTTTTATCTGTGATTAGGTTGCAGACAACCTTGTTCCGTGCGTACGGCAGGCGACGTAGCTTCTTGCAACGTTGACGGTAACAACCTCAGAAAAATACCTCCCCAATAAGCCAACTGGCCTCTGACTTGCTGATTGCAGCAGGTGACACTGACACCGAGCAAGCTTTCAGCGCCACTGAACACTGAGAATGGGGGTGCCATGACCGACTGGTTCGGTCTCGGCAGCGGCGCAGCCGCGGACGGTACGCGCCGGGTAAGCTCCTCCGCCGTCAGGCACGAGGCGTGCCCTGGGTCCGATCGCAGCAGCGAGTCCCAGCGGTGACGCACATCGTGCGAACCCGGCGCCCCGGAAGTCGGACACATTCCCTCCGCCGATCCAATTTGTGCCTGCGGTGCGGCGTGTGCGCCAGCCCACGTGCCGCCCACGCTCGCAGGCGTCGGCGCACCGGAAAAGGTCGTCACCGTCATAGGCGTCAGACATAGGAGCGAGGGGCGGGCAGGGGCCATCAACTGCCCACCTTTCGTGAAGTGTTAGCCCTGATCCTTTGACGACATTCGAAAGTTCTTTCATCCAAGGACGTTTGCGGCTCAGTTTCTGCGTCATGCCAATTTTGACGCACAATTTATACCAATGGTCGACTCCTCGGTAAACCAGCCGACGTGTGGCGTTCAGAGCGCGCCGAGACCGAGGAAGGATGGAGCTGGCTGCGTGGTGAGCTGGGCCTGTCTATACACTGAGCGACCACTGCGGAGCGGAGGGGCGCTAGCCGGCCGGCGCCGGGCGACGGTGCACCTCCTCCCCGGTGCAGTTGTAACAGCGGCGGCACGCATGTTTGGGCTGTGGGGACTGAAACTGGTTAGTCAAGGGTGACCTCGGTCAGGCCCGTGATCCAGAGCTTT